TCTTTTCGCATAACTGGAAATCTAGAGTTAGGGACAGCTCTAGATGCTATGATATCACAGGCTTAGTGATGCCATCCAAGACCCAAGTTATTCTCATCTCAGAGGTCTCTCCTCCAGGACTGGTGAAGTTAATCATGTGCTTTCTTGCTCCAGTACAGCAGAAGAGGGAGAAACTGTTTCCCAGGCATGGACAGTTAAGTCTTTTTTTTTTTTTTAAGTCTGATTGAGCTAAATTAGGTTTCGTGTGTTTTTATGGATCAATTGTAGTTGTCCTGATTAAACAAGGTCCCCCTTGGATTCATGGATAGGTTAGATATCTGGACAAAGCTGAAATTCTGTTAAAAAAGAGGAAGTAAATGGATATTGAGTAGGCAACCAATTTCCCACAAAATCATCTTGTTCACCTGAAAACCAGGTTATCCTGAATGGTCAAATTGAGTTTATAGGAGCAATTCCTCCCACAGTCTTCTCAAACTTTAGAAAGAAAATTATTGGTAGAGCATAAAAGTTGTCTCATGTTAAGTTTTTATAGAATAAGACAATCAGCAGATGTTCAGAGAACTGTTCTCTGAAGAGTAGTCCTTATGGAGATCCAAATCAGGATGCATTCAGTTGCAATTACCAGAATACCCAACTACACTGATGTAAGCAGCACAAAATGTAATTTATCTCCCTGGTCATGAAGTCTGGAGATTGAAAGTTCCAGGTTTCAGGCCGAGCCCGTGGCACACTCAGGAGAGTGCAGCGCTGGGAGCGCAGTAGCGCTGCCGCCACGGGTTCAGATCCTATATAGGGATGACCGGTGCGCTCACAGCACTCACAGCACTCACTGGCTGAGCGCGGTGCGGCAGGTCTCAAAAAGGACAAAAAAAAAAAAAGAAAGTTCCAGGTTTGAGACAATGACTTAGTGATGCTTTCAGGCACCTAGGCTTGTTCTGTTTTTCTGTTCTTTATCCTCCTCATCCTTAGGCATATCATATTGCATGGCCATGGTAACTTCAAGCATTTCATCGTCACACAACTGTATTTAAGCCCAGATAAAAAGTAGCAGGCCTCCTTACTGTCTTTCTATCAGGAAGTGTACTTTTTAAAAGAAGCTCCCCTCTACACTTTCTCTTACATGTCGTTGTTCACATGCCGCCTCTTAAGCTACTTGCCATCAATGGGAATGAGATACTGTGTTTTGCTTCGACCAGTCTTAACTTAGTTCAGACCTTGACAACTAGGGGAGAAGCTGACCTTCCCTAACATAGTGCCCAAGCAAAATCAGTTTCATCAGCTACAAAAGGGGGGAAATGGCCATAGGAAAACAACTAATAGTGTCTGCTTAAGATCAACTTGGCAGTATGTCCAAAGCCTAAAATCATGCCTCTGTTCTATTTTAGTATCTATATTAGGAAAACATTAATTTCAAACACGGTGTTTCTCAAAATATGTGGTGAAGCACCAGGGTTTTTTGTTTTGTTTTTTTTTTCCAATTCATCACAGACCAATATTAGAAAAATGAAATACAAAAACATACACTATAAAAAAAGGTATACACTGTACAAGCCTGAAGTTTTTTTTACTAAATTCGAAGGCCCTACATTTCTCTGTTAAATTACTACAAAAATGTCTAAACACTTACTCTCAATTTCTGTCCTTAGCATGGACCAGTCACAGTTTGAAGCCCAGCCAAGGTTTATGAGCACACTTGAGAGGCACTGTTTAGCCAGCTGACTTCATAATCTGCCCCTCATGCCTTGTGTCCTGCTGCTCCTTTTGATTTACCTACAACAAGCCATTCCCTGTTACCAGAATATGCCATGTATTTTTGTTTTACTTCTGGACTTGACTTCACATTCTGTTCCCCCTTCCTGGAATGCCCTCCCCTGGGGAACACCTCATCTTTTTCGACCAGCTTAAACACCACCTTCCCTATGATATTTCTCCTGAATTCTTCACTCACCAGCAGTGTCTTTCCTTTAAACCCTGTGTATACTTATTTTATTGGATTGCAGTTTTTCCTGGGTCATTCTGCCTTACTCAACCAAAATTTCCCTGACAGTGATGATTGTCTTGTTCATCTTTATATCCCCTATTCCTGGCACACATAGTATGTCCAGAATAAATGCTTATTGTATTGAATCAACAAATGACATGATTTCTGTTTATTTACTTTTTTCTCCCCCAGATATTTTCTACTGTGTTTCTGCCTTCATTTTTGTGGAATTCCTTATAAGAATATACCATTCTGACACACAGTAAATTGTTCTTTTCTCTTTCATCAAATCTGAATTTAAAAACAAGAAAGATACAACTTTTCCTTGTTGTGTATTCTGATCATAAATCCTATCCTATGGGCGTCAATGTCACTATCACTACATGCAGTATGTGGGGTTTATGTACCTTTGATTCTCTGACATGTATGCCACTCCAGCAGCATACTGAAATCCCCCGTAGCAATAAATAAACCTGTATATGGATATACATAACCCCCCCAAAGTACCTAGTAGAATGGTATATAGCACAGAGAATATATAATTTATAGTCACACTGACCTAGGATTTAATCCCTAATCATATGCTAGCTCTGTGACCTTGGGCAAGTTCCTTAGCCTCTCTGAGCCTGTTTCTTCCATTAAAAACAGCTCTCATAGGATGACATGAGGAAACAATAGCTGCTTGATAAATGTTAGTACCCTCTGCTCAGAAAAGCACATATATGTGGATTGACAGGGAAGTGGGCTGAGTTCAGTCTAGGCAGCAGGGCAAGTAAACAGGAGTTAATGGATCTGCTTGTCTCTTTAAAGAGTCAGGGCCAACCCATTGGGCAGGCTTACTGAGAAAGATGACCTGCTTTGAAATTCTATCTTGGGCAGAGCCTTGGTTGCTTCTCTGTTTTGGTGCTTCTGACTTTCCTGCTCACAGCTGGCAGGAATAGCTACTCTGGAAGCTCAAGGGGTGCATGACTAAGGTGGAAGGATGAGCAGCTGCTGCTTGTTAAAGTAAGTGGGTTGGTTGGGAGGCAGGCGAGTGACATAAAAGGCAGCACACGGAAATACCCAAACTCCACTGCTCAAATGACATTAAGGGTCCAAATCATTGCCATGAGGGAGCCTTGGGGGCATTTTTTCTCCAGGCTCTCTAACTTTTTTCCTGTACCACTGATTTTTTTCTCTCCAACTTTAGAAAGGAGGAAATAATATATACATTTATTGGTCAATTGATTTGAATTAAATTAAAAAACTGGCTTCAACATGCCGTATGTTTGCACACCTCTGTCGCTGTGCTTCAGCTGTTCTCACCACTGGAAATGCTCTTCTCCCTCTGCCTACCTGGTGAATGCAACCCTAAATCTCAAATCCAATACTAGCTCTTCTTATGTCTTCCCTCCCCAGTGCCACCGTGCTTTCTAGGCTGCCACCACTCTTTAAACTTAACTCAGTTATTGTGATTCACACACAAATAGCCATTAGTTTTTGAGATCTCTTTCCCCTAATAAAATAAAAGCTTCTCTTGGGAATTTTTGATTCTCAAGTGCTTGGCTTATAGTAGGTACTCAAATACTCACTGAGTTGGAAACTTCTACTCTTCAACATATTTGACAAGTACTAGTTCCTCATTAATTTTAGTTAGGTTATAGAAGTATAGTAAAAGTCCCTATGGATTGAGCAGCTGAGCAGCTCTGAGAGGTTACTGGACACTCCACCTGTACCTCAGGGACAATAAAAGTAAAGGTAGCATGTGCTAACCCAGCAGCAAGGAGGAAGAATTAAGGAGTCATTTGGAAGTCAAAGAGTCACATTTCTTAATTTAATGTTTGCATACTCAGATTAATTTCTTGGCAGCCCAAAGTAGATGCCCAGGTTTATCTAGAAGTTCCTTGGAAGTCATCAGACTTCACAAGAGGTGCATGGGGTTTGGAGTCATGGATCTAGCCCTGTATTTCCACTTAACTGTGCAAACCACTTGGACAGAGTATTAAGTCTGATAGACTTGGGTTCAAATCCTGGTTCTGCCACTTACTAGCTGTGGAAGCTTGTTACCATTCTCAGCCTCAGTTTCTTTCCAATCTAGAAGGAGGATAATTATTTTGAAGGGTTGTTATGATGACTAAATAACAATTGTGTAAAATGCTTAATCTAAGTCTGGTACTTCATGGATCTTTAATAGGTGGTAGTTATAATTTTGAAATATCGGGGTGGGTGGGATGATGATCTGGGCAACATATTACTATTTATTAACTATTACGAGATTCAGATATATGCAGGGGAAAGTCAGCTTAGATTTAAAAAGCTTCCTTACATAGCTACTTTTGTTAAATGGATGTCAAATAGATGCCTCATATTTGTAGTATGACTTAATAAAGACTTTCAAGGGGTTTTCCAGTTTTCACTCTTACGATTTTTTCTGATAATAGTCCCATACTTTCCTGCTTTGATGTGTCCTCCTACCTCAGGAGAGCCTTTTGGCTGTCCCTACAGGGAGCTCTGGACTGTGTCCTGCCTGAGGTGCTGAGATAAATTCTATTCTCGCTTTTCCTTTGTCCCTCCTTGCCTGCCTCTCTTAACCTGAGGTCTTATCTTGTCCTCTGGGAGGTATGTGAAGTGCTCTGCCAGTCTGCCTGTGTGCCTGGCCTGTTTTTTCTCACTGCCAGTACCTCTTGGATTCCAATTCCAAACATGGTATCCATCTGGGGTCACCCTTTCTTCCGGTGCCAAGAGAGAACGCATTCCAAATGGAACACAAGTGTGCCTCTCATGCTGGGCTGTCCTCATTTTGCTTGAGAACAACCGGAGCAGGATGTGGCCCACACCGCTGAAGTTTTCAGTCCCATATTTCTACCTTTCCCTCGGGATGATTTAGGTTTTCTGCTAAGAACCAAATCTGAAGAATGTCCTAAGAAATCTGGAGCCAAGGAAGCTTGCCAGAGCTCTGCAGGGAGGGCCAGAGCCTTGCTGAGGGAGAGAGAAAAGTTTTTAAACTCTCCATGAAGTGTACTATGTTCTACCGTTCATTCCCAAAGCCACCGGAAGCATTCCTCCCAGGAAAGGTGGAGTTGGTGGTGAGAAGCTGGAGGTGAGAAGACACCTGGAAGGACAGATTAATTCATTTTCTTAGTTTCCTATGTGGAGACAGTATTAGAGCCCAGCGAGGCTTTGGGACGGCCCAAAGATGAGCACCAACAGCAGCATGGTGGGCCAGCTGCTCTGGCAGGGGCCAGCATGCACCAGCTGGAAGCAGGACTTTGAAGGGGCTCTCTACCACCTGGCCAACTGCTTCTTGCTCCTGGGCTTCATGGGGGGCAGTGGGGTGTATGGGTGCTTCTACCTTTTTGGTGTCCTGGGTATGGGCTACCTGTGCTGCATGCTGTGGGGCTGGTTCAGTGCCTGTGGCCTGGACATTGTCCTGTGGAACTTCCTGCTGGCAGTGGCCTGCCTGCTGCAGCTGGTGTACCTGGTATACCGCCTGCGCAAGGACACCCTTCCTGAGGAGTTTGACCTCCTCTACAAGACGCTGTGCCTGCCCCTGCAGGTGCCCCTACAGACATACAAGGAGATGGTTCACTGCTGTGAGAAGCAGGTCTTGACTCTGGCCACTGAGCAGACCTATGCTGTGGAGGGTGAGACACCCATCAACCGCCTGTCCCTGCTGCTCACTGGCCGGTAAGCTGCTCTGTCATTGCCCAGTTTCTTTCCCCAGCCCACACTTCTTATTTCCTAGTGTGTCCCTTTTCATTTCTTGTCCCCATCCATTGAGGGGAGGATGTGGTAAGTCGAACAAACCAAAATAGATTTTTCTAAGATTGCTTTTGCTTCCTCTTTCTTAGCATTTTCCAAGGGGAAACCAAATCATGAGGCATCTTCTTGGTTGGCAAGAATGATTGCATGTGCACTTGCTGCTGGGAGGTGTGGGGTGAGTGTTTCTCGAGAGCCCAGACCTGAAATGACCGCACACACACATAGACACCACACACACCACACACACCACACACATCATGCCTAAGCTGCAGCAGTATCTCTATAAGCTTTGAAAAATGGAACCTTTTGGGCCGGCCCGGTGGCGCACTGGATAAGTGCGCCGCTTGGGAAGCGCGGCAGCGCTCCCGCCCGAGGGTTCAGATCCCACATACAGACCGGTTCCCGCTCACTGGCTGAGCGAGGCGCGGGAGCAACACCGAGGGTTGCAATCCCGTTGCCGGTCCCCGGTCCGGTACGGGGGCAACACTGAGGGTTGCGATCCGTTGCCGGACATGGAAAAAG